CCCGAGAAATGTTTCTCAAACTATAGAAATAAATATTAATTAGGAGTGGTTTAAATAATAACATTGTAAGCTTCTTGGGCAGATTTCTCTTTCCTGCATGTTGAACTATACTGGGGGGGAAGCAGTTAGTAAGCTGCCTGGGGTTTGTTGCTGCAGTTCCCCAGCGAGATGAAAGTTGCACTGAAAGTAAAAGCAAAATATCTCAAAGTTGTGATTGCCAGAACTATAAAATAGGATTTTGCCCTTCACTTACAATGCAATAGCTGCTTATTACCAAACATTTCATAAACCAGATTTCTTCTCACAAATACCTTGCTATGGGGTTTTTTGCAAAGGCTGTGTTTGGAGTTTGCTCAGGAATTTTTGCATTCTCCTTTTGTCTCTCTCCAGGAAAACAAAATAAGACATTAACATGCTAAAATTTAGTGTTCTGATACATGGAAATACCTTCTCTTTACTGCTGTCCACTAAATAGAAAGCTTAACTAAACTTACATTGTCTCCCATCCTGCCTTAGTCCCCTGTGCTGCACTGCAGGTTATAATGCATGTTGGACTAATGTGCTATTTCCCAGAATTTCTCCATGGTTCTCTTCAGAAAGTCCAGGTTCTTCTCAGAAATCGAGGAAAAGAAATCAGAACAAGGACAATTGTGCAGACCAAACAAATGGTTCCCTTTTGCTTGTCAGAACAAAAGAGGTAAGAAAGTGGCTATTCAAAGTTTAGCCTTTAAAACCAACTGGACTGGTGTTATGAAGGATGTTGAGGCTGTACACAGAATTACGTTTGTATATTGACCGAGTAGCTGCAATTTGGAATGGTGACAGAAGATATTTCACTAAATCACTAATATGTCAGAGGCCTCCAAAACAACAAAGCAAAACAGCAGGAACATGAGGAAAGGGACAAAATTCTTCCAGAGGTCTTTGTTGATATAGGTCAGTAGTGATGCCCCGAAGGCTTTGGTAAGCTATACAGTCAAAACAAAGCAGCTTGTGCTTGAAATACCTGGGGTTTTTTCCCAACAAGAAGCAAAACGTATTTATTACTCCATCTGCAGTAGTTTGATTTGAACACTTTGTTGAGGATTTTTTTGCTGCTTTCAGTGAAGTGGTAATGTTCTTAAAATAGTCTGGAGCCAACTCTCCTGTTCTGTCTATTAGCAACTTCCTGAGCATAAAACAGGCTTAAGAGTCCATCTTTTTAAATTAATGATGCATTTCTATGATCCCCAGTGGGAGGGTGAATACCTACGAGAATTCTTGCTTAAAATCACAACCAGCATCTTATTTCTACGTAACAAAAGAGGCTAAATACCTACTGTGAGCACGTGGAAGCTCAGATGCAAATGTAGTAGTTACCGCACAAGAATCGGAAACATCTTGTTGAGGACAACAAAAAGCTTTCTAACCTATGAGCTATTTCTGCTTAGAACTAAAGTCACCCACACGCTTTGAAACACAAGCATCAAGGCTGCCCAGAACAGTTTGCTGAATGAACTGGGGCTAAGTCTGATTTTAATCCCTCTGGTTCTTTCTTCTTGTATCAGTAGCATCAACATTTAACAATAACAAATAGGACAGATAGATGTGATAGAGCTTTTTCTGCGAGCAACAATTAACAGATGTATTGAACCTGCATCTCAGTCATCCGGTCATAGAATGGTTTGTGTTGGAAAGGAATTTAAGATCATTCAGTTCCAACCCCCTGTCACAGGCAGGGACACCACGCACTAAACCATGTCACCCAACACTCTCGTCCAACCTGGCCCTGAGTACTGCCAGTCATAGAATAATTCAGGCTAGAAGGGCCCTCTAGAGGTCACCTAATCCATCCCCTTCTTCAAAGTTAAGTCAAGTTCACCATCAGATCAGTCTGGTCACTGCATTGCCCAGTTTTGAGCACCTCCAGCATTTTCATCTCCATCTTTTGATGGAGAATAGCCCCATCTCTTGAATACAAACTATAACAAAGGGCTTCCTTTTTTAAACCCAACACTAAGAACAAAAGATGATTTGGGATTTCCTTTTTGTTTTGTTTCGGTGGGGTGCTTTGTTGGGGGGGTTTTGTGGTCCTCCCCTCCCCCCCCCCAATTTCTTTTCGTTACCTATGCTGAGGTAACCTGGAGATTTGGTTGTAATCCAGCTCAATGGCAAAAAGCAAATTTAACTTTCATTAAGACAGCTTAGCCCAAAAATAGATTTAAAAGCAGCCGAAACGGTATGCTCAAAATACACAACTGATTCCCTCAAGTCCTAATTCCTTTTCATTTTCATAACATCCCAAACAAATGCCTTGCAGTTTTGCTTGTAAAGAGATTGCTATTGTAATAGCAGTGCCACCAAAAGTGCACTGTGAAACTGAGGTGTATTGCTTCCCCCCCCAGGTAAATAACTCTCTTCTTTCATTAGCAGCATGATTTTGTTCCCCTCCCATTTTAGGTTCCTATTTAAAAACCTCACAACCACCAGTTTAGGCAGTGAAGGCTAACTAGGAGCTACAAGACTTGGCACAGTATTATGGTTAAGCAACACACTAAGTTCAACCTTTTAGATGAAGCAGGTTTTAATGTGGGAGAAAACAGAATCACTCCTTTATCGTAGGGTCTGTGAATCACAATAAAACCTACTAATGGCATAGACTAAGATTTCATTTACCAATTTGATTTTGTTCTAGGGTACAGTTGCTGTCTATGTAACAGTCTAGGCTGCGTGAACCTATCCCAATAGTAACACACACAAGATAGGAATGGTCCTGGAATTGACTTCACGTGTCCTCAAGGAATTAGGTTGATCCTTCCTTTTTACGACAGGAGAGAGTTTAGACTCATGGTTGTATGATGGTTTATCTTTGTATAAACTGGACTAGTGAACAGACAGCACTGAGTAGCTCATTCCGATTCAGACTCTGCTTAGATGATTTGAGATTTATGATTTCCTTGATTGAAAAGATTCACAAACCCACATTATGCTAAGGAATGTTGAAATTCCATTAACCCTGGCAGAACCAACATCTGATTATGATCTTTTCTGGTGACATGCACTCTGAGGCACTTGCCAAGTCCTCTGTCAGAGCATTTATACCCAAAAGACCATGACAACATGTCATGGGTTAATTGGCTGGCATGACTGTGCCCTGGAGAGGTAGGCACACGGAGCCCTAAGCCTTTCAGAACTCACTAAGCTTGATGAGCATCTCCAGGCTGAAGATCTATTCATTTTATCAATGTCTTCTGCTGAGCCAGTGAGGTTTTTTTTACTTCCAAGGCACATTTGATGCATTTGCCTGAACTCTTTCAATCTAACCCAGTGTCAGAGAACAGCCTGCGCTCCCCTCAGTTCCCATGTTCTTAGTTCCCACGTACTCACGCTCCTCAGCTCTTTTTCTGCTACACCCAGGCAATTCCTGCAGTCTTCAAAATGCCACCTTCATGCCGATTGCTAGATCTTTAATATGGAACTATACCTGTTAATTTTTAAGACAAAGCTTATGAGGTGCAACTAAATAATGAGACAAGCCAAGACAAGCACGGGTGAATTTAATGAATACTGTATGTATGAGAGAAGCCACAGTTCTCTTGTGTATGCACAAGAAATGAGTGATACCCAGACCAGCTGAACCAGAATAATGAATCGATTTTAATTCTTACTTAATTTAATAGGTAAAAAGAAGGTGCCAGAGATCAGATCAGTTCAGTTTAAAGTTACAGTATAATGAGTTTCTCTAAAGTTAATTAGTGAGACCAGAAGAAATCCCCAAGAGTATTCTCTGAAATCCCACTTTCAGAGAGGAAAGCAAAATACACTGAACAACTGCACCTCTAATCTGAATTCCTGCTCTGTGCAGTGATATACAGAAAACTCCTTTGTTATCAGGCCCTCAAGTTCTGTTCTTAAGAGGCAAACCTAAAAGACAAAGAAATTGCTGTGAAGATGACCTGCAGTCTTCTTCCGGAAGACTCATTTCACAACACTGTCACAGGACAGGAAAAGGCTGTAGCTAAAACAACAATTAGCGTTTCCAGAATGCATTAGTCAGGGTTACCTTTGTAGTCACTTAAAACGGAGCCAAAGGCACTGATCACCACGTCAGCTTTCAGACGGACAACCTGATCCTTATCTTCTTTCCAGTTTCCATCATTGTCTTGTTCAGTTCGAACAAACTCCATGGCAACAATTCGTCCACCTCTAAGGACAACTTTGTGAGGGGAGAGGAAAGGCAGAAATTCACACTTCTCTTCTTTGGCAAGTTCCATCTGTAGAGTAGAAGAATAGAATATATACCTTGAACCAAAAACCAACCCAAACCCAGCAACATACCATAAACCATAAGGTATCTTAACTCAAGATGCTAGCGCACATCCTCCTGCAGCAGAAGGTATCTGTGTACAGTCACCTTAATACCAACTTCAGAGCCTCCTGTACTGCTGGATCAGGCAGTTCTAGACAGTGGCAGTAGGTAAGTTTGCAATGCAAATATTTCTCCACTATATTTCCTTATTGTTCCTGTTCCTGTGAATATGTGTAACTCCTCTGAAGGCAAAAGAGTTCCCTCGTGTAACAATCTGTGTCTTTTACAAAGAGGCCTCATGTTAATTAAGTCCATGCCCCGATTAGTGTTTACTCTGATTTTAAGATGTCATGAAAGGTCGACTACTCTGTGCAAAGAAGTTTTCTGAGTGACAATCCAAACTTCAGATCTTCTGAATCTCTGCTGTGTAAAACTGCTGAAGCCAAGCAGCATTTTGTCTTAGCAAACTCTTCGGGATTTGATTATCTGTGTTCACAGCTGCTTTGAACACGTCACCTCCAAGCTGACATCATTCTAGCATGGCTGTTACCAGCTGAAGCTCCTTTCATCTCACTTTTTGTCGAGGCCACTGCATGACTGGATGAGTACGAACATTGACAACTTTGAGGAGTTTACCCATGCTGCTAACAAAGATTTGGGGTCAGAATGAAAGCTGATTCCTGAGTAGCTGAATAGCACACGAGTCTGGCAGTGGCTTCAGGAATCTCATTGTGTCTGGAATTCTTAAAGAAAGTGCAACAGGAGGAAATTATGCATCAAGAAACACCCTATTACTTTTGTTGCACCTCCATTCCCCTCCTATGAGACCTGCATGATGCCCACCTTCTTGAAGCACATAACCAAACTACCATAAACCTCATTATACAGATCCATACCCTAAAGTATGCAAAAGTGCAAAGTGCACGAAGTAAATGGCAATGGAAAAAGATGACCAAAAAGTGAAAATCTATCTGAAAAACCCCCTCCTGTAGCACAGAGATCCTGAGGAAGCAGAGTCGGTTTCCAAATGTACAGATGTCCTGATAAATGCTGACGTGCAAAGGCGACCTAGAAAATCAAACTGAACGCTGGAACCTGTGACGAATGACACTGCTCTATTGCCACCGACAGTTATTCAAAGCCAAAATCACTGTAAGTAATCTCCTCCCAAGGTTTTATAGGCATCAAAGGCAACGTCACAATCCCGGAGGTTCATTAGGGAGCAGCCAAGAAGCACCATCCCAGCGTCTAACCATGACTTGAAGAGTCATGTACGAGACTCCAATGACGATTTGATTTCTGGTGTGCTCCCAAGATTAGAAAACTTTCCTGTGTTTTCTAATTTACAAGGCCGTTTTCCCCTGTATGCAAATGCATCTCTCTGATGTTACAGGGAACAGGTACAACAGAGGAAAATCACTTATACAGAGAGCAACTAAAGTGAGCCTCAGATCTTTAACAAGCATTTATACATGTGAAGAGTATTTTTATGAAGAAAACCTTTAGTAGATGTCTTGACTTGTAGAACGCTTTCAGGTCCTGTAGAACTAACAACCAATATGCCCTCTCATAAATGCTATTACCCAGTTTTACCTCCTCTGGGACAGCCCTGATATTAGTGAATCCCTTCCTGAAGACCACAAACACACGACGAGCTCCACAGCGTAAAGCAGATGTTGCACAGTCAAAAGCAGTGTCTCCTGCCCCAAGTACAATCACAGTTCCATGTATTGATGGCAATGGAGAGTGACAGGCACACATCCCTGAAAGATGAAAGGAAAACCCCATTTTCAAGTAGAGAAACCATTTCTGCATGACAGCTGAGAAGGTCCTTGTACTCAAAGCAGTGTAAAATTGCATCTTACAGTTTCCAAGCATGGAGTGGCACTATCAAATTATTCTGCTTCACTGAAGGACAGTTATATTCCCATTTTTAAGATATGCTCATATACGTAATTTCATAGTCAGTACTCTAAAGCAGCTGCACCTTTCTATCTGGAAAGAATTCAAATGACAACACGTTGGTAGGATTGTGGGTCCTGTCAGGTTGAGATTAGCATCGTGAGATCTTTTTATTTAAGGAGTAAGTTTCTCTCTGCTCAGATTCATTATCCTCCCGGCCACAAAACCCAGCAACACCTTTTAGCAGGTTATAGAGAAGAATGCTTGTCATTTTTCAAAAGATGGCCAGTTCTTGCTAGTTTTGTGTAATAGTTTATCAAAGTTACTCCCCTCAGTTAGTTTTCTACAAGGCACTAACACTGGTCTGGCGGTGACATGATTCTCAGAGGCTGTTCTCTACAGCAGCTGAACATCAGGCAATTCCTTCATCTTCCACCGGGAGAAAACACCTCATCTACAGTGGCTTTCTACAAACGAGTTTCACAAAGTTACCTGGAGAGAATGCCAACATGATGTGTTTGTCACCTACACCTTGTGTTTGATGATTCAATTATACAAGAAACACGTAAGTAAAACTGAACTCTGCGTGTTCCTTGTATGAGGCTCAACTTCATCACAAGTTTAAATTTGATTAGGCACATTATGGCAACTTAACAAATAATGTCATAAATGATATAAAGCTGTATTTTCCATGAGCTTGTGCTGATTTCAGTCAGGAGGTGCTTGCTGCAGTGTAACTCCAGCATCCTGCTCTAGCAGCAGCAGATTTTCACAAGCAATTGTAAAGAAAACCAAGTATCAGCCAATGAAACAATGCTTTTAACCTAGACATAGAAACAGAGTGAGAAACAGCATCCTAATGCATACATTATCTCTCCATTTGTGGAATGCTTAATGTGTGGCAAATGCTCTCACTTCCTCCCCAAAAAAAACCCCCCGATGTATTTGGCACTGCATTTCCTATTTACTAAATAGGTTTCTTACTCTTCACTTCTCTCTAAACTTTTCTCATTTATGTTTCAACAAACTTAATCCTTCAAAACTGTGCATTGAGCAGTGGAAAAAGCCCAAGTGCAGCAGGGGAATGGCAGCTCAGAGTGCCTTTACAGGACTAGTCTAGAATGGATCAATCACAACAAGGGGAACAAAGAACGCTCCCAAGGTAAGTTCACATCTCTGTAACTGTACTTTTCCTTTTGGAGGAAACTATATTCAGCACTTAATAAGCATGCAGACTATGTACTTTACTATGAATAAGTCTATTATGTCTATTATTTAGAGAACTGTCATAGTAAAATAAAAAGGACGTGTGTTTTATTTTTAAATCCCATGCTTTAGAGAGCAAGAGGTGGCTGCAGCTACAGACAGACACGAGGAAAATTAAGCAAAAGAGACCATGTTAATTAACAGACAACACCAAAGAGCTATCTATTACTGTCACTCAGAAAAGGTTAGTTCTTCAAAGTTCATCTTTTTTTTCATTGTAGACTTCATACATAAAAAATATCACCCCATATCCTGGCAAATCCAGAGTACTACTTTGCAACGCTTTCAAAGATGCAGATCACAGGATATAGATCCTCATGCAGGCGGGTGACTTACAGTAGATAAGTGCTACGTGTCCACACAGAATTCTATAAAGTATTTTTAGTCAAATTCACAGAATCAACAACAAAAAGAAACCCAAAACCTACCCATTTCAGCTCACTTTTAGCTTAAGACGAAATGAATAAGCATTTGATCAAAGCAGCAGAGAGATGGGACAGATGGCGCAGAGAATTTCCCTTCCTAAATATTTTGCATAAAATGGGGTAATAAACTTTACTTTTATATGCAGAATAATTTGCTGCAGAAGATACATTCTTCAACACATTGTGTATGGAAAGCCTACTAAAAAAGCAGGCAACCCGAGTTGATCATAGACTCTTAGAACAAACTAGGTTGGAAAAGACCTTTAAGATCATCAGGTCCAAATCTTTGATGCTAAAAGAAGTTTCTGAATGCTAAGAAGAAGATCAGTTTGTACATGAAAAAGGTACAAACTGATAAGAGAGGTGTATGTGGGGTTAAAGATGTGATCGTATGTACACCACCACATACAGCAGGATATACTGCGGATAACTACATGGAATTTCTTGCTTTTCCATCAACACGTTGGGGAACTTAGACCACGAGGGAATGTGGCACAGAAATCACAAGCCCCATCTCATACATCCACCTGGGGCTTAATTTCACGCTGCAGGCCCCTGAAAGCAGTTATACTTGGGGAACAAATGCAGCCATCTCCGTGCTCAAAACAAAGATGTAAAAGCATAAAGCAAGACTGCATTTGGTGCCTATGAAGCAAGTGCTGTCTTATTAACTACTGTTGTCCTGAGTCTTAGACTCTAAGTTCTTTTGGTAAGGAAGATGTTTGGTAAAACATGCAGAGCACGTAATTTGGGATCAAGGCAAATCATTTATCAACAGTATAGAAAGCAGCTGCTTAAATGGGTCACCAACACCTTCTTTAATATCAGATTTTTTCCAAGCCAATCTTATATATATATTATTTATATCAAGATAATTTATACAAGCTTATGACATCATTGGAATAGAATTCAAAATAACAAAAATAACTTATTAGGGGTAATGATTTGCCATATGTTTAGATTTTTATAGATCACTGTTTTACAGTCTCTAGGACTGGGTTTCCTGCAGCCTCCTGCTAGAGATACTGGTACGTTCTGGTGCAGACAAGTGGCCTGTGTGGTGGTGAGGAACTGGCTGACCACCCAGAGGAAAGAGGCAAGCAGCTTCCAAACTGGTGACCTGTCACCAGTGGGGTCCCCCAGGGATCAGTATGGGGCTCAACCCATATTGAAGGTGGAGACTCCCTTTTTACAGGGGATTGCATGGAAAAGACAAGGGGCGATGGGCACAAGTTACTCCTGGGGAGATTCTGGTTGGACATCTAGTCTAGGTCATGATTTGCCAAGAAAAGTTGGACAAGATGATCCCTTAGGTCCCTTCCAACTTGGTGTTCTGATTGTCTGATGATTTTCCTGACCACACACAAGAGAAAACCCCGCCCCAGAACTACTCACTGGGAGGTGCTTCATAATTGGATATGGTGCTGTGTAACCAACTGTCTATTCTGGTGTTTCAATAGCTGCTAATGACTTACTGACCATGACTACAACAAAAACATATCACACACCTGGTTTACTTGCCATTGCTACCAAAGGTAGGAAGTCTTTAGATGTGTAGAATCCATGATCCATTCTCAGTCCTTGGAATATGCTCTCTCTGTTTGGCTCTGGCAAACCTAAAATAGATATTTTAAGGCATATGAGAACTACAAGGGAAACGTCAATGACCAACATGTATATGTCACATTATTTACACACTCTGAAAAATGTCCTCAAAACAAGCTCTTTTACAAACCCTTAGATGTCTCTAAAAGAACATCACAAATGACTGCAGCTTATGTTTGTAGCCTGTAGCTGGCATAACTGGTGATCTTTTAGAAGTACTGGCACTTGAAAATAAGATTGGTGGATAACCTGGATCATATAACACCTACCAAAGCCAATGCAGAGGGAAGGGTTAAAGAGGACACAGTGCAAAAGCAGGGAAGCTACTGCAGAAGAGAAGACTCTTGTATTGTTTTACCTGCACACACATTTAACTCTCACTGCTGTGAAATGGGTTTGTTTCCTTTGTTTTGAGGCAGTTTTCAATACAGCTAAGTCTGCAGATAATACAATAAGAGCCAGTTGAACCAATGAGGAGAGAAGGACAAATGGCAATGCTATAGACCTGTCTGATCCGTGACTATTTGTACGCATCATTTTTTGGCATTCTTGACTGTTTTCCCTAAAGCCTGAAGTCCTTATTGGCTGACATTCATTTATAGTTATTAATAGCACACGTGTATACAGAAGGCCTAGGACAGACACAGGGATATGCTTCACAACCAATAACAGCAACAAATACCTTTCAATTAAAAGAAAGCAGCAAAAAGCATCTTCCAGTTCTTACAGAGTATCTGCTTGTTCCTGAACATTTAGACAGCACAAAATGCCAGCCTACCTGACACAGAAGCTAAAACACTCTTTTCATGCAAATGTAATGATCTATCAGGGTGTTTTCAACCTCCATATTTACCTCTGAAGCCCCAGAATGTTATCAAGGTATGCTAATGAATAATCACATATTGAAATAGAGGAAACATCAACAATTGCTCTAAGAAAACACACTAGAACCGGGGAGTCCCCAGAGCAAGAAGCAGAACTGGAGCGTGCAAAGCAATCTGTGCTCCTTCCATGCTCGGGAGCAGATGTCAGCAAACTGGTCTTTCTCCTCTGCGACATCCTGGTCTGGAAAACCTCAGCAACACCACTTCAGTGTCAACAATAAAGCAGGATTGCACTTTGAGGAGTCCTGCTCCAAGCAGGGACATAAACCTTCCCTGCTTTTTATATACTGGCCTTTTTATATTACTGAAGCAGCAGAAGTCTGTTCTTATTACAGCAGAAGATCAGGGCTCGGTCATAAGAAAGCTCAGGATTTTTTTGAGCCACCTGATATGAGGGAGGTTTTTTAAACCTCTAGATCCCTGAATGAAGTTGCTATAACACAAGAAGGGAATCAAAAGGTGTATTTTAACAGTTTCAGTGAAAAACTGAAACCATCCTCTCAGTGAATTCAAAAGGCAAAAAGCAAATAACACAACTCAGAAAGTTTTGCATTTCAAGAACCTTGCTATGCTGAGCACTTCCTTGAGCTCTATTTATGTATTAGAAAATCACGACCTGCTTGCTGAACACCTGACTTTCAAACACCACTGATCTATAGCTGGATATTGAGTAAAATAAGGTTAGCAAATACTAGCACGTACTGAACTCTGAGACCTTTGAATGCTGTCCTTCCTGGGTAGACTGCAATATCAGCTAATGAAGAATGAATAATGGATATCTTAAGAGGCTGCCAGAAATACTTACTGCTATTGGAAGTACAATATGTAAAATGCCCTCAAGAAATCCTTTTTAAAACTGCATAGGTTTTTCTCTGTGTACATATTGCAAAACATCTATGGCAAGAGAAGTACCTTGGAGAAAAATGCTCTCGGTGACTGCGTACGGGCAGACAACAGAGTAATGCAACTATTTCTATTGAGGGACCTGTAAATCAACATGTTTTAGTGACATAGGTTAGTGTGGCCTTGGCAGTGCTGGGCAAGAGTTGGACTTGATGGTCTTCAAGGTCTTTTCCAACCTGGCTGATTCTATGATCTACGATTCAGAAACCTCAGATACTTCTAGGAGAAAGCCTCGCGTCATTAGTGAGCCATGCAGCCTGCATTAAAGAGAATTCCCTTTCTCCTTAACAATTATTCCCATTCAGAAAAAAGGAGAAACCCTCACAAATAATGAAAATTATTCCATCTTTAACAGCATCAGTAATTTAGCTCCTGTATGAAGAATGAGTAAGTTAAGGGAATGTTGCAGTGTTCATGGTTCAGGTTCATCACTCGAACAGTGTCACTGAAATCAAAGGACTTGGACTGTGAATGCATTGGACTCGGTAATGTTTAGCCTGGCTGATACGACCAAACAAATGTCTAAGATGTAGTTAGTATGAACGACACTTTCTGTTATTTATTTTACTATTTTTATTTTGCTGAAAATTCCATGAGCACCGTTTCTGCACTGCTGACACGTGAAGGAAATGCAGGGGGGTTTCTCAGACCTCTAAAAAACCTGGCAGTTACAAACTCTTTGCTAAGCATCTGCTGGAAGTTGTTCCTTTTGTTGTTCGGTGTTTGCCGTTACAACAGTTGTATTTAACTTTGTTAAAATAAGAGGGGTTTGAGTACACCTTAAAGCTAAGGAAGAGGCAGATGGAGAAAAAGATCACGAGCTGGCAAGAGCCACTTCAGCGACACACCATTTCATACTGAACGGCCACCCCACAGAAGTCTGGGTTACAGACAGTTCAAATATTGACAAACAGGCAACAGCCTCTCAGGAGAGAGAAGATTTAACAAAAAAGCAGCTGTAGAGGAAAAATATTGTTTTGAGCAAGAGGATTTAAAGGAGAGACACAATTATAACCCCCTGTCATCTATGAAAGACACAATTTAGGTCAAAATAATGAACCAAAGGAAATACCCTTTGAAGAGAAATCAGAGAGATCCTTTAGCAAAAGGGAATTCACAGTCTAGTACAAAATAGCCAGGAGCCACCCAAGAAAAGCTGCTTAGGAAAAGATGAGGACTTGCCCCTAGGTTTTCGGCTGCAGCCAGCGGGAGGCAGTTCTCTGCTCTCCGAATCCGCCTGCAAGCCAGCTCAAAGGTTGTTCTTTATTACTTGGGATTTCTTGTCCTGAAAAAACAATCTTTCAGTATTCTGGGTCTCCTGTCTTTAAATAACCTGTGTCGAAGTGTGGTGCTAACCATCATTTCCTGCACCTGCACTGAAGAACAGCTCTTCTAAGGGTAACCGAGAGGAGGCAGCCAAGAAAAACAATCCCACTGGTGGTGTTGGGATAGGCTCTGCGCACCCATACAGAAGCAGAGGGCTCTGCTGGGCCCCCAGCCTTCTGCCACCAAAGCCCTGGACTTCCTGAAGCTTCAGTCCCTTTTAACTGATGCCAGGGAACAAGCTTCTGAAGCAACTGCTATCCAAACCACGCAACGAAGCCTCATGGGCTGTGTAAAACAGCATTTACTAAGAATAGGGACAGTAGAAACATTGTGAAAATAACAGCTTGCATGACAGATCTAGTTCAGCTTTGCAAAAGCTAATCCAGACAGTTCCAATTTGGGTCAGGTATAGCACAGAAAGCAATTCATCTTTATTCCTGACCCTATGGTTTGCTAGGCCCTGCCTTTCACCTCCAGATGCTCCAGCTATCTCTTAGGCAGCATCACGACTCTCAGGATGAAGCTCTCTTTTCGTCTTTCCTTCATATGATCCCTCAGCCCCTTCTCCAGTGGGCATCAGTCTCTCCACTGTCTGACATAGCATATCGTTTCCAAAGTCTAGGTCTCCTGTCTTTATATAACCCGTGCCAAAATCTAGTGATCACAAGCATCTCCTTGACCTGCACTATAGCGCTATAGCAGTGGCTTTGGAAAACACAGACTTTAACATCCCATTTTTATATCCTTCATATATACACATACAAATACATACCTGTATATATATATATATTAATATTAGAAACCTCTGCTTCCTAACAAGATCTTGGACTCTCTGTTTTCACAATACTGATGCCTGGTATTTTTCTTAACCGGCAGTGTTAAGTCCATCATCTCCATTTAAAGAGATGGAATTGAGATACTCTCACAATTCCCTAGTCCAGATCAAATGTGAATCACTAAACAAGTAGAGTCAATTTGTCAGATGTGCAAGGCAATAATACAACAACGATGCACACAACGTGTAAGGGATTGGCATGCAGAGCAATGCCCCTCGTCCATTTGGTTCCTGCACCAAATATATCAAGGCACATCAACACATCAATCAGCTAAATTGGAAAAGGAAATAACTTCTGCTGCTATTACTGTAACTATTAGACTGGTCTGGAAAGGAAAACCAAAGTGGGAGTGGAGGCACAGCATGAGAGGCACAATCTCTCTCTGATTTTGCTCAAATCCCTTCTCCCCAGAAGCAGGAACACCTTCTGAACCTGAACTCCTTCTCTGAATTCCTTGAGTCTCACTTATTTGGGCAGATGTGCATTTTCAAATGAGCTTCTCAGCCACTGTTAACAACTGCCGTACAAAAGAAGCCCTCATCCTTGGTAAGGGTCAAATACAGTTTTCACTGACAACAGATCTCCAGACCAAAGAAACACATGAAGCTGAAGTTGAAGTGTAAATAGAGAGCAGCCTACAGGGACAGGACGTCGTAGAGCATCGTGAGGTTTTCTGCTTCTCCTTACATCAAATGCTGAAAAGTTCAGCTTGCTTCATGTTTAATTATGATAATAGCACATGTTGGAAAATCTTCAGCTGAACCAGGTAAACAAATGAAGAGCTATGATCAGTCAAGCACTGAAGAGGGCTCTTTGCGTTCTCTTTACTGTTGCTATCCTGACAGAAGCGAGTGTTCAAGATGAGAAGTGGCCGAATTGTGTTCACCAAGCCCTTACTTTCAGGTAACCAGGTAAATTCAGGCTGGTGAATACAACCTGTGTTTGAATATATCAAGAACTGGGGGTTTTAAGAGCCAAGACACTCTACCTTGACCTTTTTTATAAGGAATCTTTCGACTCTGTACCAAAATGACACTACATTTATAAATGTATCCAATTGGA